ACACACAGAGTAAGTCCGTTTTCCGGACGCCATGACAGCAGAATACAAGGGAGAGAGAGACGGGGTGTGCTCCCCGCTTCGCGTTCGCTGTATCATTTTATTCCAATCTCGTAAGAGCCGAATATTTCTGCCAAATGCATTTTGGGGGGAGTAGAGTAAGCCAATCGTTTAAAAAAAATTTTTGTCTTAGGCTTTACAAAGATCCTTTCTTCTGTTCAGGACTTTATAGATCATAACGCATTTTTATTTACATCTGACGTTGTTAGGACAGATGTGACAATGCCGATTTGATAGATGAGGACACCGAGGTTTCGGGGTGACGAGGGCATGGCTAGGAACCGCCAGCGCCGGAAATGCCGGAACCGGTGGCCTAACGCACGTGGCTTTTCTCCCGTTCCGTTCTGCTCCTCTGCCGCTTTCGCTACTGTTCACACTTCGCCTCAACAGAGAAATGACACCTGGTAGAAGGAGTCGTTAGAAAGAGGGCGACCGAGTGGTTCAGTAGCCTGTGAGAGGGACGTCCTGTTATTACAAGGATCTCATCTGAAGAATTTATTATTAGCAGGAGTTTCTTTATTGGACATAACTAGGGGACATATTTAACCACAGCCTAAGAACTACGTACCATTTTAAGCCTGAACTTCCCTTATTCAACTTTCTTTCCAGACATTTCACTTTTGAAAACGCAAATCAACGCTGAAAAGCAGCATATCTCTAAGGGCTCGATTCGAGCGTGTGTAATTCTAATGACGACGAGGCTTGCTCGAAAATTCTAAAAGCATTTTCCTAGGCTTACGTTTCTCATTTTACTTTACTGTTTTTCGTTTCGTTTTCTTAATTTAACATTTGTACGGAAACTTTTTATAGTATGCTGCCTTCTTCCAATGTCACCCTTCTTTAAGGGCGATACGTAGGCATTTATCACAAGTGGAAGCTGAACATCGCGTGACGCATTAACGAAACCGAGTATTAAACCGAGAGAGCAACCAGCTCCATCGTGAGCCTCCGCTGTGGTTGATGGATCAGGATCAGTGGGACCGAACAGGAAGCGGGGACCAGGGAGTCAAGAACGACGAGGATTCGTGGAGCCGTCTGCTCAGACCCACCCACCTGCAGTGGACCAGGAGAGGCGCATTCTTGGGGTGCTTGTTCCCTTCGGCGGAGTTCCTCGCGGGGAGCTTCTGTTTGAGAGCCCGAATCACAGACACCAAGTCCCCGGGCTCCGCAGGCAGCTCGTCCGCTTTCCAGCCGTGGTACTGGAACTGGTGCACGGTCCGGGAATCTTTCCTCTGAAACCAGAAGCGAAAGAGACGTCACCTCGAGTGAGGTTCACACTTTCCTCACAACGACTTTCATTTAAATCGCCTGGAAATTCCGTTCTGACGGCATCGCACGGGCCACGGCTTTGCTCGCGTGGAGCGAGTCCGTTGCTCTGCCAGGGGGTTGACAGCAAAGGTGCGCACTGTCGCACCCGTCTCTGTACCTTGGCGTGCCTCAGCTCGAATGCACGGAGCGTGTACGCGGAAGCGCGCTGGGTGTCTTTCATTTCGACCTCTATGTCTCCGTGTGTCTGCTTCCCGTCACCCCAGTACTGAGCACAGGCCTCCTAGAAAAGAAAGAGCCTGAGTCAATGACTTCTGTGCCGGTGTCCTGTTTGCTTTCAGAGGATTCGGAGCACCCCCCTCGCTCCGTCTCCCCCTTCCTCCGTCCTATCAAACTGAAATTCCTCCTTGTGTCTGCAAACTGAAAGCTGCTCGTGAAAGTCTAAACTCCGTTTGACCTCTGGTGGACAGCCATTCGGTAAGGCCGTGTGTTTCCTTGTGCATATCAGGGGACGAAGGGTCCACCGAGGTGGCCAGGACGCCACAGGAGCAGCCCCGTCGTCCCTGGTCCCTGACACCTGCTCCTCCCTCCCACGCCCTCATCGCCACCTCTCACGACGACAGACGGAGCTGCCGTGCTCAGGGCCCGGCGGTGGCCTAGATTTCCCAGTCCCTCCAGCTGCCCCTTCAGGGAAGAGTCCGCATCTTCGGAGCTTTGTCTCTGTGTGTCGATGACCGGCGCCACGAGCGGCTCTAGGGAATGTGACCGGATATCTACGTAAAGGGTCAGACTGAAGAGTGGGAGAGTCACAAAAACGTGTCTTCTCTGCAGACGGTTCTCCGTCAACTACAGCCTGACGTTGGGAGGCCTCCCACCCGCACCGCCCTGCCCGCTCCCGACTCTCAGGACTGAGATGCAGGGCAAGGTGCCGGAATGCCATGCTGGAAATACAAACGTATATTTTTTAAAGAAAAGAAAAGGAAAAAAAAAAAACCCGTAAGACTAAAAGACAACTTTCTATGTCCAGGGTAGGGACCAGAGAGAGAGAGAGAGAGAGAGAGAGAGAGCGTCCAGGGTAGGGACCAGAGAAGAGAGAGAGACAATGCCTGTCATGTCATCGCACGCCGATGAGGCTACTCATGAAATCAGCGTTGACGTTACATGTCATCGCACACCGATGAGGCTACTCATGAAATCAGCGTTGACGTTAACGTCGGCGAATGCGTTTGGCGCTGAAATGTGGTGACGGCAATTTTGATAACTCGAGGCATCGAGCAAAGGATCAAACGCACGTCGCAGGCGTTCAGAGCAAATTCGACCTTCGGTTAACCGTAGAATGTTACAGCAATAAATAGCGCACAGACATGAAGAAGGCAGGGTTTCGATAACAATGCTCAGGGGTTTTGTCTTCCCGGAAGGATAGGATCAGAATGGGAAGGATGGATTCAAAACAGGTACGTGGGACGTCGGGAAGTGAAGCCTCGGTGATGAAGACGCAGACGATTCGTTGAGATTCGGCCAGTAAACCCACCTGTTCGGGGCGGAAAGGATGGAAGACACGAAAAGAGGAGGGAAATGGAAAGATAGACGTCGGCCAGATGATCGAGGGTCTTAAGCCTCAGACCGAGGAGCTCGGTGTCTATCTTGAAGAAAACAGAAGGACAACGTGGCTGTGGCTTGTTGTCTTTGGGAGGCCGACCCTGGGATTGCCACGTGTTAGGAGGTCTGTGAGCGGCCTGCAGAAACGGGACAGCCTGTCACGAGCCAGACGCCAGACGCGGGAGGCCACCAGCCGCATGGAAGACGACCAGCATGAGCCAGTGAAATCGCGTGGGGGGCGGTCGAGAAGACTTGGGTGCAGCCATCACATCCGTCATCCAAGAACAGAGAACGAACTTTAGGGCAGAAAGGTTTGAGAAAAGTACAAACCTGGTCTCTGCTCTTGAGCTCCGTCAGCATGACAATCACTTTCACTTTTCTTTGGAAAATCATCTGCCAGAAGTCACCGATGGTCTCCTTTAGGGGTCCCTGAGCAGCAATCATCACTTCAGGTTTCCAGTAGCTCTTTACAGAAAATAAAGAGGAAAAGAAGCGGTGGGCTTCGTTACCGCTGCTAACGGATGGAAACAGTGGAGTCTTAAACAGCCTCCAGGAAACAGAGTCGCTTAGTTTTGACATCAGCGTTGTCACATAAAAAGATTAAGATTCTTAGGTCCCAGAAACTATGTGATGTCTGTATGTAAAATACTTATTTAGTTAATGATAACACTTAGCTGATGATGTGAAATCAAGATTAGAAAATATTACCTTACAACGCTAATAAATTTTTCTTTCCTAAAATATCTTTTTTTCTCTCTCTCTCTCTCTAAAAAGGCTAATGTGGTTATAAAAGGAATTATCTTCGTTATGTCTCTGTTGAGGTCTATACACTCAGGATAGCTGATCATTGAGCTAACATTCTATGAATGTGTGTTTTAGGAAAACTGGATAGAAATCCAACTTAGCGTATAAGCGAAAAGGATTCACCGAATGACTAAAAGTCTCTTGTTTGAGTTCTCGGTTTATAAAAATAAAAAAAAGGTATGTGACACAGACTCACCTAATAATTTAGGTAATCCGAAAGAAAAGTTTTAACTATACAAACACACATATTTGATTTGCTTACAGTTCGGGTGTCTGACTAAACGTAAACATTTTCAAATACTTACGTTTGTTCAAAATATTATTTTTTCTCAAATTTCTATTTTATTGTTTTTCAAATCAACATGATTATAGTCATGTTTGTCACACGACTAACAGCATTGTCTTGTGTTGTTCAGCTTGTCAGGTTTTCACATCCTTAAGCCTTTCGATGAATTACAATACAGTGTTAAAAACCGAAGCTCGTCATTCTTTTACAGAATCACTCAGTGAACGGCCATGGTAACGTAGCTACGTTTTTTTGGCGGGCTCTGGGAGTGTAGGTGCCTACCATGACGAAAGACGCGTTGATGTAGTTGCTGGTCTCCTCGGTGTCACTCTCATCGTCGGAAGAGTCATCCGATTCGTGCTCACTCTCTTTGCTGATTTCCAGCTCGTGCTTGAGGGGAACTCTGTTAAAATCATCTGTGGGCAATAAATTAATAGTAAGTCTTCCTCTAAAAAAAAAATCAGACCTCTGCTTGATTGTCACGTGGACATTCGAAAGTCAGTTAGAAGGGACAGATTGCCTTATGGAAGTATATTGACCTCCAGGGATGTATGTAAAATTCAGTTCTTCCCGATTAACACATTATAAAAAGAAGCCTAAGAGAAAGAAGGAAAAAAACGGGAAGTAACTCTATATTAAATGACAAATGGACATCACGACATTCCATGTGATTACTCAATTTTTGATACACGTACTTTAGTTTTCCACGGAGTATTATTATTCCGCTTGATATGTTAAAAATGCACGTGTAAGTTAATAAAACACATAGCTTAGGCAAAAGTCTAGTTTTCAATTATATACTATTAACATTAAATTAACACTCTTAAATAGGTATCTGAGATAATGATTAATTGAGAAAATTATTTAGCCCTTAATTTCTCACCATTTCTCAATTTCCTGTCTAGTAACTTGATCAAATGAACTGATTAGCCACATCACCATCAAGCCTATATTTTCAACTTTATGAGGAATCTTTCAGAAATTAACTAGGTCAACCACGCACTGGTCCGATTTATCCTGTTGCCCAGCTTACTAGCTTGCATTCTATTTTCTCCACGTTAATTTTAGTGTGTGCAAGTGAATGACATTAGAGCTGTACCAGATGCGGTCCTATCGAAACGCTTAAATAGCAGGATTCGAAACACCGTGCGGATCACGATCTGTTAAATTGGATGACGGGCAGTTTGCAGAGCACTTTCGACCTCCGAGATATAAGACACGGATAAAGAGAAAGCGCACAGGGAGCGAAAGCTCGCGATCTCTGCCATTCGGCGATTGCCCTGGAGTGAATAACTGGAACCAGATAAGATGAGGCAGAACTGGAAAAGAGGCCATGTCACTTTTCTCCAGTTTCGGAAGTTACGTCCTTCCGACAACCCGCTTCTGCGATGACCGGTAGACAGGAAACGCTGAGTACAGTCCACGGTTCACCGTGAATGTCTGAGGTTCAAAGAATTCGCTTCAACCACATCGTAAGGGGCCTGTCGACGGTTCTCAACAGCCAGCCCAGCGCTGAAAGGTGCTTCAACGCCGTCTGTGTGTTTGCTAACGCCTCACGTTAAACAGTTCCAGGAGAGAATTTCAGTTTATGTGATGCAAAAAAAAAAAAATAATAACAATAAAGTAAACTACATACATGGAATGACGGAAGAATTCCTGTTTTTACTTTTATTTTCTTCTTGATTTCCAACGTGCTGTGTCCTCCAGCTCCTGTACGAAGGGAGTCTCTGAGAGGAAAAACAGAATGGAAAACGCTTTTAAAATGTCAATATCGGCTTAGTTTATTATTAATTAAGGCATAACATGCTCCCTAAAGAATAGTATTTCATCCAGGTTTGCGAAGTCCACATAGTTCGCGATCTTGGATTTTGCCTCTGATTTTTTCCTTCTAATCGCTCAGGCGTTTAATATTTTGACATGGTGAGTTGGAGCTAGATATATACAATTAAATGAAAGAAAACGGTTTCATTTGTGGGCTACTGGTTAGCAAAGCAGCACGGTGTTTTCTTGTGTAAGTCGAAAGCACTCTGCAGAGGTTGGGTATCATCCAGCGTGCAAAAAGCAATGGTAAATTCTTTTCCAATGATCAGAAGTGGACTCTCCAGATAGAGTGTTTGCAGAAGGCACGAGTCGCGCTGAGGAGAGTCGGCGCTTCATTTATTTTCGCCTTCCAGCCTGTCTTCCCTGTCACCCACAGTAGCTCATCGGTCAGCAAGACCGATCATTGCTACCGGCGAAGCTCTCAAACGCTCCCTTCTCTCTCGTAGACTTGGTCCGGCCCACGGTCATTTCTCACCTGGAAATGTCAGACACAGAACCGAGCGTGGCCACCCAGCAGCCTCTCAGCTGGTGCCTCCTCTCGGCCGGCGGCTGCCCCTGGTCTGTGGTCGGCGGACTCCCGTCCATCCCGATCCTCGGTCCCAACCTAAATGTCCCTTGGGGACACCACCAGGAATGTCGTAGCTCCTTAAGAAGCTGACCACACCCTTCTTGCCCCATTAAATCACGACTCGAAGGAAAGATACGTGTGCTCTCTGCTCCCTGCTTCGACGCAAACCTTTCCTACCCACTCCTCCTTCACAGGTAGCCAGCTCCCTAGATGTGACTCCCCCGCGCTCCCATCCTGTGGCCTGCGGGTGGGGGCGTCCGTCACCGCATCTAGTCTGGGACCTGGCGGGCTGCGCGCCCCTCTGCTCGCGGCCTGCCATCAGGCCGGTCACTTCCTCGCTGACGAGGATGCGGTCCCCAACGCTCGGCCCCTTTGCGTGGGACCTTCCCCGCCTGCCACGACCTGCCCCTCGCTCCTCGGCCATCGCCTTCTCCGCCCTCCCTCGAGCTTTCCTTCCAAAGATGGCATCACCGTCGCGCTGTTGGAAACGACCTCTACTGTTCCTAGTCCTCTCTTCCAGTGTCTTCAACAATCGGAAATTCTGTCACCGCATCGTCCGCCCCTTCCTCTCTGTGCTCACGTCCCTCTTTATCGTCTGCCATCGCATCATTCTTTTGCAAACACCCTCAACTCCTTGGCCTCCAAAACTGTCCAATGGCCCTTTTTAAGAATCCCAGATGGGCTTAACCTAGTCATCCACATATACAGCTCAGCTCCCCAGAGAGCTCAGTGTCTCTTCAGAAAAGAAAGAAAACCAACTGGCTGATCGCTCTTTCGATTCAAGATCATTAACGTCAAATGATCCAACAGTCGTCTCTGGCAACCCCCCCACCTTGGCCTAGCAAGACCGCTTCCCCGCTTCGACGTGCG